GAACGTCTGACACTCAGCAACTCAGTTGGGATTTTAATTTAACCTTTCCTGAGTTCTTTCAAAGACACGCATACACAAATTTGATCAAAATCGATGGAAAAACTGAACAATACCCCAAATATATTGTTACGGTTTTGCTAAATCTACCTCGATGATTTTCTGAACCTTTCGGGTACAATCTCTGGATTGTTAAATAAAACTCGCCAACTTAATTTGCGAGTGTCTTTCGTTATAAAGAATTTATCTAATGTCCTTTATTTACTCAGTAATTCACAATTCAAATACAATGCACTTTACTGCACTTGTATAAACTTCCACAATTTACTTTACTTAAATGTAATTTCCAACGCGCTTACTCCGCTATACTCTATGTTAACGCCAACGAGTTCACTTTGTAACTAACTTGACTTGGCAGCTGAGTGTCGCCCTTATATAGCAGTCGGCTGCTCGTAGACGAAAGTGTAGAATACTCGAGTTGTTCGCTATCCAAGGTTCTCGTTTTATCATTTCTAGAATGTACTAGTTATCGGCTTCTTTCTTTCATTTGACATTCGCCTCGCATTTTCGCAAGAATATGTATATGTGTTAATTAAAAAGGCGTTTTTTTTAATTGCTAAAGCGATTTTGGTTCGAGGTCCTCTTCTAATTTATGGTTTTGTATCTTCACTTTGGCGACTAGTTCTTCAATAAAATTTAAATTTTAAAACAACTCAAGTGCTATTTCCCGAGTCGATGGAAGACAAAGTTAAATTGTTTATATATCTTTACTGATCAGAGAGTAAGACAGCTACGGGAGGAGGATTTTTCTGTGAACATCAAATTAAGGAAAATAGTTTCAATTCAAATAGCTACCCTGTCTACCAAGCAGATCTTTTGTAGCCAGACAAGCTGCTGTTAAGGAGGCAATTAACAGACAACTTGACATGGAAGCACAGTACATCTCTACAAGCACAGAAGATGACGCAACGCTAGAGCAGTATTTAAGGGCTTTCAATTATAAAATCAACGACTTAAAAATTCCAAATTTAATGGGAACCATTGCAAACACTTTGACCTCCGTTATTTGGGATTATGTATCTGGTACTTTAAACTAAAAAAGTGAATTTTCTCAGTACACAAACCAACGTCTTCCGAGAAGTACGATGGGCGAGACAAGAACGGAGACGGGTAGATCTTTGTGACATTTCCTACAGCGGCCATATTAAGTAGCACAAATTCGGTGTTGGATTTGTAGTGGAAGAGAGTTCACCTCGGTACATTAACATCTCGCCAAAATTCGCATCAAAGCAAATTTTTTTAACGATGGCATCTCCTAAGAATTATAACAATAAAAATATGAAACCGTCGCTCTGTAGAGAAGAACGCATTTCAACAAATAAATGTAAAGTTCAACGTCAAAAAGCTGAAACCATTAATCAGCACCTAGGTATAAAGGAAATGTGGAATAGTAATTCACTTACACCGTCTTGATAAATACGCTGTTTTGTCGAGGATTTCAAGACCGGTGCATACTCACGATGAAACCAATGATAAATACATTATACTGAGACCTTGACACGTCTTAGGTCTAGATACTGCAGAAGGTTAAACTCTTATTAATCCATACTCGACTCCAGCTTACCCAACGTATACCCTGCATGAGGAGAGTCTCCGCACGCCATTAATCACCTTTTCACATGCCCCTTAAACCAACTCGTCTAACCCGCCTCTCCCTTTGGACCAATCCCGCCGAAACAGCTTGTTTCCTAGACCTCGCGTTAGATGACCTCGGCGCCTCAGATAAATCAAACCTGTACCTAAGCGGGGTTTGCAAACCGCTACAACAAAAACAACATTATACTAAGTTTATGCAGGGAATACAATTTCATTGGATGGTAAACGTCCGAAAATGTCAAGACTAGAAACAAGCGTTGCATCATCCGAAGTCAAGGCAAAAAAGGTAGAAATTGCGTGGCTAAAAATCTGCATGGCGACGGAAGTCTATAGCTTACTGGCTGAGCTACTAAAATATGGCAGTGAAGAACTCCTTTAGGGTTTCTAAGTGAACATATTTTTGTGTTGTTGTTTGAAGTGAAACTTGTTTAGCGGCTTTTAGTAATATGGAAACTGCGTTCGTACAAGACAGATGAAACATAGAGCTTTAAGAGCGAATGAGAAAAAGATCATCGCTGCCACAGAGAGAGAGAGAGAAAAAAACTGTATGAGTTTGATGAGATAGAATGAGTGAGTATTGCAACGGAAACAGAACTCCGTAACGGAGAAGAGTAAAAATAAATAACTTGGTTTATACTGAGTGAGAGATAGTATATGCGGATGCTTCAACAGTTTCCAACCAAGCGCTCTCAGATATTGGTGAGTGACCAAAGACTAATCAATTCTGGCCGCTTCTTGTTTGATGGATTTATTCAATTTGTTCAGTTGTCCACAGTAGACCTCTGAGTTAATCGTTTGGTTCATTGGAAGCAGCTCAAAATATACCACACCCTTCCAGTCTCACCAAACTGAAAGCATAATCTTCTTTTGGTGAAGTGGTTTGTGGTGCTTCATCAAGTTCGGACGACCCGATGAGGTCAAAACCTTGATATCATCATCAACTTCACTTGGCGGCCCTGGTAATAATCATGGCCAACATAGGTGGCCCTAGTCATAGTAGGAGAATTCTACTAACTAAAGCTAACTAGTCAATACTGATGTCTGCAGCTTCTATACGCGGAAAGGCTTTGCGTCGAGAAACATATGCCGACAAGGCAAGTGCAGTTTTCAGGCTAAGCGCCATTAGAGTTGCCTGTGCGTTTAGGACGGTGTCGATGAAGAGTATATCAAAAGGCAAAAGCCGAAAGTAGGCGCCAACAGCCGACGAGCATAAGAGAGAGAGAGCGAGAGAGAGACAGAAAAGCCTCGCCGAGTGGTAAAAGAAATGGGACACAGAAGAAAAAGGAAGAGGAACTCATAGACTCAATAAGAATCTACCAGCCTGTGTTGAGAGAGCACGGAGAGACAGACGTCTACCTGATACAGTTCTTGCCAGGCCATGGCTGTTTCCGAGAATATTTTCACAGTTTTGGCCACGAAAATGTGGAGCATATCTTCTTCTCCTGCTTAAGGAGTGAAGTGGAGAGATCCACAATAGAGCAGATACCAAGACAACATTGTGAGTCGCATGCTGCAATCGAGGTTGGTGTGGGCGACGGCGCTGCAAGAACTTAGAATAAAAAAACGGCCACGGAGAAAAGAAAGACCAGGTGAATAACTTTTTAGAAAGTGTGTGAAAGCCATTTTTAGCCCAGCTTGGCCCTGCGCAGTAGTGCTTAACGACGGTCCACGTACAAGCTACATCAGCCAAAGTTAAGGGTTTTAGTTACGTAGGCGTATTGTGTCGCAAGTCCAGAATAGTTAGATAATACTATCTAAGTGTGGTCCCGAATAAGGAATGCCCGGAAAAATGGCGGTAAACCGTGTTTATTTTAAGGTTATATCATATCACCTTACTAATCTTGCAACTTTTTAGCAACCTTTTAAATGAAAAAATACAGTCAAATGGTCACAAGCTGGTCAAAAAAATTTTCAACACCTTCTAAATGTTTTGGGGCGACCCAAAGATTAATTAATAAATTGATTTTTACTTACGGTTCACTAACATTCTCTCTTCCCAATTGCACTATTGAAGTTTAACTTTTGACCTTTATACTGAGCTGTACATGTGCCGTACATACATGTTTTTTCGATGGACCTCAAATAAAGTGAGTTCACTCTTTTTTTTGCAGAAATATTCTTCGACAAGGCTTATAGACCGAGTAGCTGATAAAAGCTGCGTACATAAACGATCATATATTTCAAGCTTCAGAAATATTTCGATGAGAATTATACTATTTACTTCAATAATGCAGAAAAAAAGCCGGGGACGTAAAAAGCAACATTAGAAGAGAAAAACATAGAAAAACAGGTTAAACGAAGATGATGCCACATGAGAGTGGAAGAAAACATTTAAACACATACACACATACCCACACACACGCACGCACCGATTTCAAAATGAAACTTTCACGTCACAGCAGGGCGCTAGCGAAGCTTATGTCAAAAAACTGCAAAAGCAGGACAAAAAACGTATAACAACAATAAGCAACTAGCAAGCAAAAATAGCAAATAAAAAACAGAGAACACGAAAAGATGTGTAGTTACCAAGATTTCCTCTAATGCCACAAACTGCATGGCATAAGTAACAAAGTAATAAAAAAGTGTTAGCGGCGCACACTTACACACACACACACACACACACACACACAGCTGCATGAAGAAAAGCGAAAGCTCAGCTGTGCCACGTGGTATGCCACCATGTGGCATACTATTTATGGCATCACAGCTACGCAGCCGGAATTGCCAAAAAAACTCAGACAGCAAAGGCAATGGAAAAACTTCTCGAACGGAAAGTACCAGAGAAGGGAATGATAAGAACGAGATGTTGGTCGAGAAACAAATGCGCGGCGTTCTGCTGCTGCGATTTCTTCACTTTGCTTTACATGTTTTGTAGCAGTTAAAGTCATAATCATGGTGGAGAAATAAAGAGACGTGTTAACATGGAACCAAACACAACTATCTTCGTTGAGGCTACACACAAATGCATATGTATTTGTATTTAATATTTTATTGCATTCAAATTTAAATTTATGTCTGATGCCACACAACAGACAACAAACGAATATATGTGCATGGCGCGTTGGCATATGCGCCTAAATGTATGCTAAAGTTAAGCGGAAATGATAAGTATTGCCGAAAGGATAAAGTAAAACGCTTTATGGTCTTAGACTCCTTGAAATGTGAAAGGCTAAAAATATGTTGAATTTGTACAATAGAAAATCAAAAGGCATACAAAAATTTTGAAATAACTGTTGGCTTAGTCTAAAAATTTTGTAGTTTTTTTTTTTGTTTTTGTTTTTTGTTTTTGATAAATATTTATTTATAGTAAAAATTAATTTACTATTTTTCCTTGTAATTGCAGATTTGATTTTGCCGTAGTTAAAATTATGCCATTTATGCACCGTTGTGCTCAACAACTTTTCCTGTTTGAAGCTCTCATGTAAAAACAGTTGACCTAATTGGCAAAAAAATAAGACTATCGCTTTTCACAGACTGCTCTTGAATCGTATTCTTCAGCAGCCAAGTTATTCACCATTCAGAAACAGGTGCGAATCACTTGATGCAAGGTCCGGATATGGGGATAGATAAAGAAGAATCTCACAACCATGAACTCGCAGCTTCTGGTGATAGATTGTCAATGATTGCGAGCCGGCATTTGACCAAAGGAAATGCGATGATCAGTTGATAATCACTGTCAGACCCGGTTAATACTCTCTTTCCAAGGTAAGCGGATGCTACACATTTCCACCATATAAAGAATAGCGTAGAGCTCCTTCCATCCCAAATCAAAACGAAGGACGAAACACACTAGGATCTTTCCAGCTACGAAAGAATGTATGAAGAATGCTGGTACTTTACTTGTTGACATTATTTGAAGGAGTTTTGAGTTAAAACTACGCACCTATCGTTTAGGCAGGGGAGAGTATCGTAATCACACTGAAGGTGACGAGCAAAGGAGTTCTCCTTTATTCGAGGGAATGCAGACAAATAAATCTCACCTCATTCCTTCTGAAGATGTGCAATAGTATTCTATACGCTTGTACTAGGCGCAAATTCTCATCGGTTAATATGTCAGAGGACCAGCAATACGGTACGACTGAGACTGCATTTTACTCAGTGAGCCTTGACCCTAGAGAGAAGAATACGCCCTAGAAATATATATTGACATAAGTCAAGTATTCAACAATGTCTTCAATGAAAGTTTGAACACTAACGGCAAATTGAAGCGAAGCTGGACTGCTCAGGTTAGCAAGTTTCTGTACTTCACTACTCTTCAGGTGGATGTGCTGATACCGTTATTTCTATCACTTGTAGTTATTGAGTTTCTAAAAAATGTCACAAAAGAAAACCAAAGTCGATAGCCTATGCAAACGATATGTTAGGTCAAGTAAAAAGTTCATTAGGTTTTTAATTAAGAGATGGCGTTATTGTCCGTAGTACTAGTTTTACGTGTCGCATCGTGTCATACTATACGGCGCTGAAAACGTGTTTATTCGCGCTAAAAGTTTGTCTTTGACAGTTTTTCGATTGATTGACTCAGTACGTTGGTAGCTCTTATCAAAGATGGACACCAGCAAAAAGAAAATTCGTTATATTTTACAACTTTTCTTCGGTCAAGGCGAAAAAGCAGCCAAAGCGGCAAAAAAAAATTGATTTTATATATTGATTGATACTGTAAACGAAAGTCTAGGCTCCGTTCCGGTAGTTTCGACCTGGACCCGTCCGGACCTGGCACCAAGTGATTACCATATTTTCCTGTCCATGGCGAACGCGCCTAATGGTGAGAAGTTGGCCTCAAGAGAGGAATGTGAAAGTTGGTTCTCCGATTTTTTTGCCTATAGGGACGCAACCTGAGGGGTGTAATGAAGTTTCCATCTCGTTGGCAACAAGTTTACGAACAAAACGGACTTAAATAGGAAAAATGTACACGAACGAACTTTTTACTGGACCTATATCAGAAACATGATGAAAATGGCTCTAAAATTCGTCGATGAGTGGTGACATCAGTGAACTTAGAGGTATTTTCTGACAAAACGGTTGCAGCACTGTTTACAAAAAGGTACAGAACTCCCGCGTAGATAGCCTCAAGTCTAAACAGGCTAATGCTATCGTTCACTGATCACCCCTAGTACGTAGGAATCACTTTAGGCAGCAAGTAGTTGTAGAAGCTAAACATAGAGTGAGGGATAAAGAAGGCCAGTGATACCTTTTAAACATGTAAAAACATAGTGAGGTAAATCCCTTGGCCTAGTACAATGGCGTTACACAGAAGTAATTAAGCCGATATAGCATCACTCTGATCTGGTGGACTACCTTCGATAATAAATAATATGTAATAAACATAAAAATATCAATTTATCTGTCGATAGTTAAGCGCTATAAAGGAAACACCATCACATCGGATTGCGGCAAAAATGTCCTTGGAAGCACAATAACTGTACCATTACAGCACGGTACCGAAAGGTTGCCAGTACATTTGCTGGCTTCATGTTAGGACACAGTTTTCTGGCATAACACGCGAGCCGAATGGGCATCAGTAATGATGGGCTTTACACCGCTGTATGAAAACCAGCACAGAGCGATGAGTTTAGATACATTAGAAGGATTCCAATCGAAAATATGTTCATTCTAATCCGAACACTTTGGCTACCACCGTGGCCGGCGCAATAAATCAAACGCGCTTGAAGAGAAGGAAGTTACTACCAACATTAAGCCAGCAGCCCATTCTTTTGAAAATCTTATCGAAATAATTGTACCTAAAAAAATATATCACTTTCTTACATCGAGAGTATTTGGCTTGGACAAAACGTTTAATGAAAATATTTTTTTAGTTTAATTTTTATATTTTTCCGAAGCTTTTAGCAAACTTACTACATTAACTTCAGTCATATTTCTTTAAAATTCAATATGTACTGTAATCCTCTCCAATTATTTATTCAAAATACTAACTTCATAGCATGTACTTATGTATCCCTTAGTGACTCGACATAGCACACAAACAAAACTTTGCATTTGCGCTTATTTTTGAATGTTGCTTCATTAGGTTTGCACTTTTCCAATTGATTAATCTTTCCAAATCGAAAACTTTCGTACATAGACATTCGTAAATAAAGTCATGTGTGTTTGGTTTATGTATTTATTTATTTATTTAATATACTTTCAACAGCCTGAAGTTCCTCAGTTCATTGAGTCATCATCAAATTTTAACAATCTTGGTAATATTTTCTCTGAAACCTTTTTTTTAGTGATGAAGTGGAAAGGGGTATAGTGGAATTTTTTATTTTCCAATGCTTATGTCTTAACTTTACAAGGACTCTGTTTCAATTTTGTTCAAATTCTTGTGTTTTTTTTTTTTAATTTTGCTCATTTTTGCCATCCCTGAAATTGACAGACTGTTATTCACCGGAGAGTGAGTGACAGATATGATTCTTTTACATATGGAGCAAGGAGCTCACGAGTTCCGCTAATTGCACAAATGTCCTCAGGCTAGTCAACAAAACACCCTTTGATGGAGAACTAAGGTGGGAAGTTGCGTCCCGTGCTATTGCGAGTAGGCTTTGGGACAAACCATATGAGGAATATACATTAAAGGAAAATCAATTGAAAACCTACCTTTAGTTCAGTTACCTAATTCCATATCGCTTCCTTTATTTTATTTTATGTATCCTTTATTTTTCTTTAATCATTTTACTCTTCTTATATTAGCTTATTTTATTTTATTTTATTTTATTTTATTTTATTTTATTTTATTTTATTTTATTTTATTTTATTTTATTTTATTTTATTTTATTTTGTTTTATTTTAATTTGTATTACTTTATTTTATTTAATTTTGTATTATATTATTTTAATTTTTTTCATTGTGTTTCATTATATTATTTTTTTCATTCAATTTTTTTCTAATTTATTTAATTTTATTTTATTTTAATTTACTTTGTCTCTTTTATTATATTTATTTTTTAGTTCCTTTGATTCTCATTTATATGTTCTCAAGGCGCCTCTTTTTAAGGGAAATTCAACAATTTTGTGGTTAAGTATTTATATATTTGTATATGTGTCTATATGAAAATATCTTCAGTATTGGTTTTTATAAATTTTTCAAAAACTTTTCGCATATTTGCAATCGGTAATGAAAGAGCTTAAGTAAGAAAGCAATTTACATTGATTTGGCATTGAATGGAGCGCTGATATATATTTTTCTATACACATTCATATATACAAACAAATGTTTTAGGGAAATGCGATTATCACACGTTTATCAGCATATTAAGCGCAAGTGCGTGTATATATATATATATATATATATATATACATATATATTTTTGAACTTGCGAGCACGTGCATGTATCGTATGATTATTGTTCATATTGTATTTTTCCCTTGGGCAGTCCAGCTTGAAAGATGAATTTTCCAATTTAGCAGAGTGCATTTGATGACGACAGCATCTTTTAATTCAATGCCAATACACAGAGACACTTACAAACACTTACATTTAAACCTGCCAATGTTGCATACATGCATTAAGGAAATGAGCAGAAAGAAAAGTGAAGAAAATGCGTAAATACGTGCAAAAAGCAGACTTGCATAAAGGTGATGAGGTGAGAGAAAGGGAATTCGGAAAGGTGTACATAACTTAGAGACTCGTTCGGTATGGACGTATTTAAATATTGTAAGCCTATAAAACATACATATGTGTGTATAAGTACATCCATGGGAAAGCTTACATGGCGTATACGCAACATTGGAAAGGCGTCACCAGAGTTGAGTTTCATATACCGACATGCTTTTGAGCCACAATTTTTCATACATACGTATGTATAAGCAGAGGCATCTGTGTTTAGTTAGGTATACTTTTGAGATATTATTCTTCAATTTCTCATCCATTGTTGGTGGCTTAAGGTTGTAGCTGAGACAAATATGCATGGCTCCGACTCGCCGAAATATGCGGTGGTTGTCAATTGTTTGAGTATCGGTTTGGTTGGTTCCAATCAAAAGTTAACAAACACATATCCAGGTATATATGTCTCGAAGAATGCATACAATGCTGGTTGCTGAATTTTTAATATTTAAGCATTTTCGATTGTTGGGCATTTTTCCTTCGTTAAGAATTTTACTATTAACTCGCTGCAAGGCGAAGTTTAACAACCGAAACGCCACGTTCACTTTCATACCTGAAAATTTAATATTCACTTGAATACAAATTTAAGCATCCCTCTTCATATACACACAAACAGACACATGTGTTGCTACCTGCATTCTTTTACCACCAAAAGCATGCATGTATTTATGGCGGCTCAAATAAATTGAAAAGCTATGAATGAAATTGAATTTGGTAGATTTTATCTCATTTGTGTAAGGGCTTCTTGTTTGCACTGTATTTTTTTTTTTTTGCATACGTGTACATGTGAGTGTGACACACCTTTGATGGCATTTTAAGTATATTGCGTTAAGTCATGTTAGTCCGCCCACCACCTTCGTCAATGCCTTAGCACTGCATTTCGAAAGCTGTTTCAAATTCTTCACTGTCTTTTTACAGTTGAAGTGGGTTCGGTAGGTTTCACCACCGCTGTCAGTCACTGTCGGTCTAAGGTTAAAGTTATGTTGCCTCTTTTATTATGTATTTACCTGCGCTGCGGTTACTTAAACTGACTTTTAGCCTTTTACGAGTTGACGTGATCTTATAAAAATTCCAAATTCAATAAAAATTCTGCGAGTGTGTAAAAG